CATTTGACCTTCAAAAAGGAAGCCCAGCCTCTAGGGCTGTCCTTGTCCCAGGCCCCGAGAGTCCTCCTGCAGGGCAAGAGTCCTCAGCTGTGCATATCCTGCAGGCCCAACCCCAGGGGGCGCCACTCACATTTGAAGTCATTGTCATGGACACTTAAAGTCATGACATTTTTCTCGAAGATGGCAGTAAGTGTCTTGAAGGAGGGGGCATTTTGTTCTAATGCACACAGTCACCTTTTGGGCTTGTGGTGGGGGCTGATCCCACACAGCCAGCTCCAAGTTTCGGGGTCCTGACTCTGCCCGGGGAATTCCAGCACAGTGCCCTCTGCTCGCTTACTTACTGTGGGGCGGGAGAGGCTCTCAAAGGGAGGGTTTGGGTTGCCTGCCAGAGTCCTGGTCCCTTGAAGTGTTAACGTTAGAGTGTGACTGGAAAGTGCTGTCAAAACCTCTCCAGCACTAGACAAACAGGAGATAGGCATCTGTCAGCCAACAAATGTTTATTGTTGTATTATTCCTTTATTTCTGGCAAGAACAAACAACTTACTTGGCATCTTTACCTGAGTGTCCGCCAAGCAAGGCCAGTGTTCCTATTCCTGTGGATCTTCCCCTCTTTGGCCTCTGTGTGTCTGTGTGTACTGGGGGAGGGGGGACGGGGTGTGTGCCCTGTGGTCGCCCAGACTCCACCCAGGTGTCTCAGATTGAAATAGCTTAAAAACTGCCCTGACTTTCCAGCTGGCTGGCTCACCCTCCACTCTTAAATTTGTCGTCTCCCCCCGCCCCCACCCCAACCCCAACCCCAGGAGTTCCCAGTGTCCTTTCCTCACCCTACCCTGTCCTGCTCTCTCAGGTCTGGTCACCCCTTTGGTTACTCCACCTGTCAGGGCCTTCTGCACCCAGAGCTTGGACAGGAAATGGAAAATTCCCAGCTCCCTTGTGTTCCCTTCCTGGCTGCAGGGCCTCATCCAAGGGTCACCTTGAATTGAGTGCTCATTCCCCCCACAGGGAAGTGAGCTGGAGCTGATGATCAGGAGAAAGGGCTCGGCTCGACAAGGGAGCACAAAGAGTGCAGGATGCAGCACGTTGAGACCACCCACTCTGAGAGAGGCAAAGCTGGGGCCCGGAGGACAGGATCGATCCTGCAGCACAGGGAGGCCTGGGTGTAGGGCTGGCCACAGGGCTGACGTGGCTGAGGGAGAAGCTGGACAGGGGTGGATCATGAGCCTTGGGATGAGGCAGGAGCCCGAGACCTGGGTGGTGACAAGAGGGAGACTTGTCACTGGGTGGGGGGCGGGTAGGGCAAGGCAGAAAGGCTTGTGCAGGCCCTTGGCCTTGGAGAGGCAAGACATGCTTGAGGGATCCGGAGGCTGGCCCTGGGAACCGTTTCGCTGGGCCTGAGTCGACCTCTGCTGGCCATTTAACAAACTGCAGCCAGACAGGCTCTCCCCTGTCATTCGCTCCCAAGGATCTTCAAAGGATCTTCAATTCCCGATGTCCCACCTCCAACCTCCCCACCTCTCCTCCAGCCTCTGTTCCCTCTAAGACCCCAGCCCTGAGACCCAGGTTCCAGATCCATAGGCTGTGCTTGCCTTTCAGGGCTGTTTTCGTTGCTTTGGTGACCTTTCTATTTTCCTTCTCCCTCACCATGGGAGGTGGGAGATCCTCTCTGGCCAGGCCCCAGGCATCACCCACTATGTGGGCTTTGTGTCTGGGATGGCCGGGGGGGGGGTGTGGGGGGCGATGCTTACAGTCCAAGGAAGATGACAAGTTTTATCAGAAACGCCTGCTCTCCCAGCTGAGTGGAGCTGAGAGCTTGAGGGAGGCCAGTATTAGCCCAGAGGGGCGGATGGGGTGAGGTGGGGGTAGGTCTCCCTCACCCTTCGTAACCCCCTCTGACCCAGGCCTCTGACCTCAGAGCCCCTCCCCTGACCCAGCCCACCAGCTGCCTTCCCTCAGCCTGCCCCCTTCCCTCTGCTCTGGGATTGGTGCCAGGGTGAGAAGGGGACACTGGCACTGACCGTGTCTGGGAATTCCCGCCCACCGTGGAGTCGGTGGGAGGGGGTCCCCGTGTCCCCGAGGAGCCAATAGCAGCCAGGCTTTGCCCTGGGGGGCGGCGTATATCTTGCAGACCAGCACCCCCTAGGCACTGTCTCCTCTCTGCCTGCCTGGCACCAGCCAGACCCCGCTGTGCCCCGGGGGGCTCTGAGCCCCCCAGGCAGTCCTTCTGATACAGCCCTCTCCCTTTGGGGGGGGCCTAAAGCCCTTTCCCTTGGGGATGGCCCAGCCGGGCACCTCTGTCAAGTCCCTGGTGTCATCTTATGAGACCCGAGTGGTGGGGATGGCACCGGGGCCTCCCCGGAAAAGGGGCTGTGTCTCCTCTCCTTGCTCCCCTCGGGGAGCATCCCCTATCCGAGGGGCATCTGCACCCCCACCCCGCCGGGGCCTGGGGGGGCCTGGGCAACGGCCCTCACCCCGCCGGGGGATGGACAAAACTCTCCTCTCCCTGATTCTCTGTCACAGGTACAGGCAGGGGTGTGGGTGGGAGGCTGCAGTGAAGGGTTTGTGGAGGCGGCCAGAGCCTGCTCTGAGAAGCACCTGGAAGGCAGCCGGCTGGGGTGTCCAGACACCTGGCTTGGCACCTACTCCTCCTCCTCACCTCTCAACTCCCTGTGTCTCTCCAGCGGCTCCGGAAGCCTGGTTGGCATTGACAACAAGATCGAACAAGCCATGGTAAGAGGAGCCACCTTGGTCCCGGGAGGTTCCAGCTCATGTCCTGCTGTCCTCATCAGGGAATACCGACTCCTAGCTCCTCAACCCACTCCCCAGCTGGGTTCCCTCCTGTCTCCACCTGAACTCCCGATCTCCCTTGGCCCCTGGCCTGGCCCCCGTCTCTGTCCTCAAGCCCTGACCTTGTCTCTGTCCGGCATCCTTGCACACCGCAAACCGCCCCCCCCCCGGCCTCTTCCCTGCTTTGCTGCTTCTCCAGTGGTCCTTCATTGTTTGGGAGCAGGCAGAGGCATCTCTCACACCCAGGCCCTCGAGGCCCTGGGCAGGGATGAGGTTGGGGTGGCCTGGGACCCCTGACTCTTTGTCTGTCCCCGGGCCCCCAGGACTTGGTGAAGTCCCACCTCATGTTTGCGGTCCGGGAGGAGGTAGAGGTGCTGAAGGAGCAGATCCGAGACCTGGCCGAGCGGAACGCCGCGCTGGAGCAGGAGAACGGACTGCTGCGAGCCCTGGCCAGCCCCGAGCAGCTAGCCCAGCTGCCCTCCTCGGGAGTCCCGCGGCTTGGGCCCCCTGCGCCCAACGGGCCCTCCGTCTGAGCCTCCCTTCCCTCACAATGTGCCTTTGGGGGCTGCCACGGCTGCCTGCCCCCCTTCCTATGCAGCTTTAATGCCTCCTGATCCCTGGGGATGGGAGTTGAGGGCTCAGACTTGGCCTGTCCCCCCGATTCTTCCTCAGTCTCCCCCTAGTGCCCAGGGACAGGGCGGGGGCACCCCCAGGCCTTGAAGGAGGAGGGAGGGCTTCAGGATGGGGTGTTGGATGGAGCCCCCCTCCTGCCTCCCAAGGTGTCAGTGTTCTGGGACCCCTGGCAGTCAATGGCTGGGGGAGTCTCCCTGGCAGACACCCCATCCCCGCCTTGTTCCCTCAAAGGACCCCCTCTCCCCTGCCCAGGGGAGGGAGTGTGGACAGTCTGCAAGTTCTGGGATTCAGGTTGTTATTAAAATAATAATTATAATTAAAAAATCCGAAGAAACTTGAATCTGGAGGTTGGCATCTTGTTGCTTGTGTCCAGATGTGGCCTGCAGTGGCATTTCCACGTGTGGGGGAAAGACGGAGGTGTGGGCTCCCTTGGAGATCTCGTCCAGACTGGGGAGGTTGAATGTGGCTTAGACACAGTGGTCAAAAGAGTTGAGAGGGGGGTGCGCCAAGGGCCCAAAGGGGGGTCAGCGGTCTGGGTCCTGGGAAGGGGCAGGCAGGGCGGTGGTGGGGGGGTGGGGCGTCAGCCCACGTGCTGAGGGGGGCCAGGGAAACAATGAGGCCTTTGGTGATTGTGCAGGATCCACCCCCAGCTTCCCAGTGTGTCCCCTCTGTGGGCTGGATCCCGGTGGCGGCGGCTTGGGGGGCGGGGCTGGGGGCCCTGAATGGGCCCCTTGTCTCAGCGCTGGGTGTGGGCCAGGTTCCCCGGGCACACGGTGCCCTCGCCAGGCCTGGCCGGCCTCCGTGGCTTCCACCCTCCGCTGGATGAGGACCGGCCCTGTGGGTGAGGGGGGGGGGCCCTCCCTGACAGCCTGGGCTGGGCTCCCGCCCTGCCCCGGGGCAGCAGAGGCAGGTAGGGAGAAGGACCCCATCTAGTGGGGAAGGGGGGAAAGCAGCAGCCTCCACTCAGAGCACCTGGGGCCCCAGACTAAAGGGGCCCCGTGAAGAGTGGGATACTGGAGGCCACCCCAGGTTGGACTTCCCGCCCTATAGCTCCCTAGATTTACGACCTTGGGCAGGTTCTTTGTGTTGTCTGCGTCTCAGCTAACTCGTGGGTAAAATACCTACCGGAGGGCCGCTCTGCTGATTATGTGACATCATACGTGGGGAATGTCCAGGGAGGACCAGGTGCTCAGGAGCCCTCCTCTATCAAGGCCTGCTTAGTTTCCCTCCCCTGGACCTGGGGGAAGGAGGGCTGAGGGCACAGGGATTGGCTCCGCGGATCCTGGAAGGGCCTCGGGGGTTGGGGTCAGGGCCAGGCAGGCTCTCACAATGGGCTAGAACTCTGCCTTCCTCTGAGTTCTTACCCACTTTGACTCCTCTCCCTGTCTCAGGGAGGGGAGGAAAGACTTAGGATGAGTCGTTGGTGAAGGCTTTCCCCCTGGATTCTCTCTTTCTTCTCGGCTGTGCCTGAAGCTCCCAAGGGACCTCTCAGGTGGTGGCCACTGGCCTGCAGCCTGTTCCCCTCCCCGCTTTGTACCAAATGCTTGTCCTGCCCCTTGCTTGGTGTTCGTGTATTGGGAGAAATGGCTGTGGTAATGCGGTTCTTCCGATGGATTTGGCAAAAGATTACTCGCTGGGTGAGTTTCAGAGAGTGCCCCTTCCTCATGACATGCCGGGGTGGGAGGTGCTGCTCAGTGACCTCTAGGTCACAGAAACCCATTTGGGGGAGGAGGCGGGGACACTCACGGCCCCTACCCCTCTGTGATTGCCTTTTTGCCAACCACATGCCCCTCTCTTATCTCTCCTCTCCCTGTCTCGGTTCTTAGGTTTTCTTCTGGAAACACAAAGCTAAGTCAACTGTCTTGGAACACCATGACTCCCAGAAAAGTGTAGTGGAGAAGAGTCCCAAGGTGATTGAGACTTTCAAGTTGGTTGAGCCCTGCGAAGAGGCTAAGGTCTCCAAGACAGCGGAGACCCCCAAGGTGGCTGATCCCTTCACGTTGGTCAAATCAACAGATAAGGGTGAGGTGGAACAGAAACGTGTGGGCCGGTCCCTGCTGCAGCTGCCCCGGACAGCTATCAAGTCTGTCTCCACACTCATGGTCTCGGCCCTGCACAGTGGCTGGCACATGTTCAGCTGGAAGGTGAGCACCCTATTACCTGGTTCCCAGTGGTCCTACCACCCTCCCTGATCCCCCATGACTCCTCCCCCGCTCCAATCACTTGGTTGACATTTGTTTTGTCGGCCTCTCAGGCACTGAGGCGGGCAACTGAGGCTACACGGTGAACAAGATTTACCCAGGCTAAGGGAGCTACAGACAAGATCATAGGCATTGTTGGTTCAGTGTCTTAGGGGTATGACAGGGGAGGTCAGGGGTATGTGGGAGCCCAGAGGAGGAGCATCTCAATGCGGACTTGGCGAGTCAAGGAAGGCCTTCCTAGCAGAAGAGAGGGTGAAGCTGAGACCCGAAGGATTGGCCCTGCCTTGGGGTGGAGTGGGGTGGGAAGGAAGTGAAGGGGGGCATTCCATGAAGACAGAATGGCAAGGGGGCTGGGGTGGGGGGGTGCTGGCCCAACGTGATGGGTTTGGGCAGTCCTGGGGCCAAGGGCCAGCTTGTACAAGGCAGAGTGGTTAGCCATCTGTGCAGTTTGGGTTTGACCCTAAGAGCAATGGGAACCCTTGTAGACATTTGAGCGGAGGAGTAACACAATCAGATTTTAATTTATTTATTTATTTTTTTT